CTTCGGCACAACATTGTACGTGCTATGAACAGTACAAGCAGAAAGGACGAGCTCGCAAAGGAACCCAAGAAAGAAGCTTTGCGGTTCGACTTACTTGATTGCGCAGATTCAGTTCTATCCAAATCGAAATTGTACTGTTTGGTTTGGTTGACTATAGTGTAGCAGGGCAGGCACGATAGAGGTATAATTTAGGTGAATGTTGGATGTTGTTTGTATGTATCTGCATGCTACAGGGCCAGGGGAAACCAGCGGAACCAGCATTTGGCTGGTTGGGCAAAGACAAAACAGGTTCTGTTTTTAGGACCTGAACCTGGTTGTTGTTTTCCCAGGTTGGAAAAACAGAACCAGAGGTTGTTTACCAACCTACCACCTGCTGTTTTGTCCAGCCAGGTTGGTTCTGCTGCTTGGAATTATTTGGGATCATCCTTGGTTGTTCCCAGGTTGATTCCCAAAGGGTCCTTGCCAGCTAGAACTATTTATTCCTTCGCTGTTTGCTCCTGGGTATAATCAATTTGATTCAAGCGAATTCCTCCCTTCCTGAAATTTCGTTTCTATGCGGTGCGACGGTGCAATGCTACCCGAGTCAACACTAGTATGCCAGCACTCCAACGGTAGCCAAACGCTGTCCAAGCCATAAATCCGTAATGGCAGATCTTTTCGCGATGCAACTTGGCTTATTTTAAAACTCTTAGAGCAAGCTTCGATATAGGAAATTCTCAGCTTAATCTGATCGACGGTATGCACGATATGCTGCGCGACGTTCAAGGTACTCTTGCTATTTTGGCTAAGTCATTCTTGACTCCTCTCTCTACAAACTCGGACCCGAGGATAGGGGCTGGTCTTGTATCAGGCACCCAAGGACCCTTGGAGGTGACCTCGAGGAGAGGTTTTAAGTTTGATTAAGTCTTAGTAGCTTGAGTTTATTAGGCCCTTACACCAATACCTTTCTCTATGGGCTGATAGATGTGGAGGTGTTTATGTCGCAGCCGCCGGGTTATGAGGATGGCAACGGACGTATGTGCAAGCTGAAGAAGGCCATTTATGGCCTCAAACAAGCACCACACTGCTGGTACAAGAAGCTGTCTTAGGTGTTAGAGCAGATGGGCTTCAGGGCGAGCGCATATGACGAAAGCCTTTTCCTCGTGGGGGAGAAGGAGGCCCTCGTCATGTTCCTTGTATATGTGGATGACATCCTCCTGTTTGGGAGCAGCAAGCAGGAGGTGATGAAGGTGCAGCAGAAGCTGATGCAAAACTTTAAGTCTAAAACCCTGGGGGAGGCAAATTACTACTTGGGCATGCACATCGAGAGGGACATCAGTAATGGGTGGGTAAAGCTGCACCAGGAGAAATACATCAAAGACATGGGGCACCAGTATGAGATTGAAGTCGGGAGGAAGGTTGCAACACCACTTCCATCCGAGTTCAAGCTTGTCAAAGCTGGAGAGAACGAGGGGGTGGATCAGCGAGAGCAAGCACGGTTTCAGTCCGTGGTGGGAAGCTTGCTCTATGCAGCAGTGCACACTTGGCCTGACGTCTCTTTTGCTGTGGGGCAGCTAGCTCGAGTGGTGCAGAATTCCACCGAGGAGCAGGTGGATGCAGCTGATCGGATAATTCAGTACTTGAACTCCTACCCCACTGTGGGAGTACAGTACGCCGCAGTGGCACAAAAGAACATGAAGGGATTAGAGGTTCTCAAGGAGAAATGGGAACACCTGGGAGAGAGGGAGCTGTTCCTTACAGTTTTTGCTGATTCTCCATAGGCTTTAAAGAAAGAGGATACGTCTTCAGTAGGTGGATACCTCTGTGTGATTGGGGGAGGACCCGTGAGCTGGAGGTCAAAGAAGCAGGTGGAAACTGCGGGTTCATCTGTTGAAGCTGAGTACATGTCGATGTACCACGCGGCCAAGGAGTTGGTTTGGCCGCGGAAGCTGCTGGAGGAGATTGGGCATGAGCAGAAGGTACCAATCCCACTCTTCTGTGACAGTTCAAGTGCCATCTCCATGGCCAAGAACGCGATGCTGCATGGGCTTACCAAGCACATGCGCATCAAGTGACATTGGCTGCGCACGGAAGTGCAGAGGGGAACCCTTGAGCCTCTCTACGTGAAAACGCAGCAGCAGCCGGCTGATTTCCTCACGAAGCGGCTGGCTGAAGAACCTCATTGGCGCTGTGCCAAGCTGAGTGGCATAAGCCTTAACTAGGCTCATGAATGTGAGTGCAAGCAGGCGACTGTTTGAGGGGGAGTTTGTTGGGTGCATATATATATTTTTTTTTCACGTCAACAAGCCGTCTGCGTCGCATTTACATTTTGTATGTGTGCGCATTTTCATTTTCATTTTGTGATATTCTGTGCGCATTTGTTCTTGCATTTTGTGTGTTTCTATTTCATTTGTAATTGCATTTTGTGTTTGAGCATTTTCAGTTTCGATTTCACTGCTCACATGATGCGCTCAAATGAGGCTTACATACTGCGCTCAAATGAGGCTCACATGATGCGCTCAAATGAGGCTCACATGATGCGCTCAAATGAGACTCCCACGAAGTCTCAAATGAGGCCCTCATGAAACTCAAATGAGTTCTCATGAAAGTTACATGAGATATATTCTATGCGAGGCTCATATGGGCGAACTTCGAATGATTTATGCGAGGCTCATCGAAGTTCCATATACCTCGAATATTTCATACGAGGCTTATGTGAGTGAGTGGTGTGCAGGGGGGCTTGAAAGTTTGACTGGTCAAAGAGGTGCTGTTTGACCGTTTCGCGCGAGTCAAAGGGTGCGAAAATCAGGACCGCGTTTGGGTCCTGATACGCGCGTGTGGCCCCTCAGGGCTCGGGCGTGTGCCGCGTCTTGTTGCGCATGCACTGTACTGCACGATCGCAACAAGACAGGGCCCATTTCGGCCCTATCCCATACTGTACACGCGCATAACTTCAATCATGACGCGCTGTACAGTACGACTGAAAAAAATCTCAGTCGTGCGTGTGGCACGAGGGGGTGCTTGGGATTACAGTTGAAAAACTGTATCCCGTGCTGACTCATGGGACAGGAAAATTCTCGCGAATGTACTGTCGCTTTGCGGAATCATTTCGACACATGTGCAAATCGGCTACTCCGTTTTTAAAACGGTAAAAACCGTTATACAACTGTGAGCTCGCATGAAGATATTTGAGCTACATTGGAGCAACATGCGAGTCTCATGAGTGCACACATTTGAGTCAGCAGGGGAAACTGTTATAAGTACAGTTTGAAGACAGTTTTTAACAAGAGGAGGATATAGCCAAATGCTCAAGGAGTTGTGCAACCGTTTTCAAGAACAGTGTGGCAAAATCCTGCGAGCTGGTTAAACAACTGTTTTGCTTGCCCTTGCCTGTGCGTAGAATATATATAAATGTGTGCTTGTACTTGTTGAAATTAATCCAATGCATTCACGTTTTTTCAAGTTTGAATTCTACTACTTCGTATTGACGAGAGTAGAAACGATCACGGTGCTGCAGAATCTCTGCTCGACCAGTTTACTTGTTCTACAGGCATGAGTAGGGCATAACTACTCACTTGCATTTTTATTACGCCCTTGGCTAGTGTTGGTGTAAGGGCCTAATAAACTCAAGCTATTAAGACTTAATCAAACTTAAAACCTCTCCTCGGGGTCACCTCCAAGGGTCCTTGGGTGCCTGGTACAAGACCAGCCCCTATCCCCGGGTCCGAGTTTGTAGAGAGAGGAGTCAAGAATGACTTGGCCAAAAAAACAAGAGTACCTTGAACGTCGCGCAGCCTATCGTGCAGACCGTTGATCGGATTAAGCTGAGAATTTCCTATATCGAAGCTTGCTCCAAGAGCTTTAAAATAAGCCAAGTTGCCTCGCGAAAAGTTCTGCCATTACGAAGTTATGGCTCAGATAGCGTTTGCCTAGCGTTCGAGTGCTAGCGTACTAGCGTTGAATCGGGTAGCATTCCGCCGTCGCACCGCGTAGAAACGAAATTCCAGGAAGGGAGGAATTCGCTTGAATCAAATTGACTAGATCCAGGTACAAACAGAGAAGGAATAAATAGTTCTAGCTTGCAAGGACCTTGGGAATAAACCTGGGAACAACCAGGGATGATCCCAAATAATTCCAAGCAACCGAACCAGCCTGGCTGGACAAAACAGCAGGTGGTAGGTTGGTAAACAACCTCTGGTTCTGTTTTTCCAACCTGGGAAAACAACAACCAGGTTTAGGTCCTAAAAACAGAACCTGTTTTGTCAGGTGCCGGTTTGTCAGTGTTAGTGCTCACCCTTTTGTATGCGTTCTGCTTCAGCCACAAGCATCTGATTTTCACAATTGTGTTTGTACAGGTCCCCCCCCCCCCCCCCCCCCCACCCCCCATTGCGTTTGGTTCAGGAATGTTGGTTGTTGGTAGTACTACTACTAGGTATGACAAATAGACATGCCAATGTTGGATATTTAATATTATATACTAAATTTTGATCCACAGAGGTATGAGACTGTAGACCACTTACAATGTGCATCAATCTAGTAAAAAATAACAAGCTAGTCCATGTGATGTCTTGTCCAACTCTTGTCTGTACATACAGCAGCAAAAAATCAGGACTTGTGGTTCCCTCCCAACAGCTGGTGCTGGGCATCGACAGACTGCATGGGTAAAGGGTTGAATAGGGGAGTGAGCAGGAAAGAACAGAATGAGCAGGGAAAAACAGAGTGCAGGGGAGACAGTGAGCAGAGGTAAAATAATTGAGCAGGGGGAAAGAGAGAGAACATGTTGAAAGGGAGTGAGCAGGTGGGAAGATAGTGAGCAGGGAGAAACATAGTGAGCAAGGGGAAGAGAGCGAGCAGGGGAAAACAGAACGAGCAGCAAGGGGAAGAGAATGAGCAGTGGAGGAAGAGAGTGAGCAGGGGGAAATAGAAAGAACAGGGGGGAAGAGAGGAAACAGAGCGAGAAAGGGGGAAACAGAGTGAGGAGCGGGAAGGGAGTGAGCAAGGAGAAACATAGTGAGAGCAGCTTAGTCCGTGCTGCACTTGCCGAACAGCGCCACCATGCTGGCCGCTGCCTGGCGTGCGCTGATGGCATGCGCCTTGCGCACGTCGAGGGTGTGAGAGAGGCGAGGAGTGTGAGAGAGGCGAGCAGTGTGAGAGAGGCGGGGAGTGTGAGAGAGGCGAGGAGTGTGAGAGAGGCGGGGAGTGTGAGAGAGGCGGGGAGTGTGAGAGAGGCGAGGAGTGTGAGAGAGGCGAGGAGTGTGAGAGAGGCGAGGAGTGTGAGAGAGGCAAGGAGTGGCGGAGGAGGATTGGGTTAGAAGGGGAGGAAATTGCAGGGAAGTTGTTCGAGGGGAAAAGGGGCGACGAGAGTTGAGAGTGGGAATGGAAAGCAGGGGCTTATGAGGAAGGGTGCGTGGGGAGGCGTGGCGAGTGTGAGAGGGCGGGCGGACGTCGTGATGAGGCCCGCAGGCGAGCGCGGAGTGAGCAAGGGGATGAGGGTGGGCATGGGGAAAGGGAGTGAACAGGGGGGAACACCACGAACTGGGGGGAAGAGGGTGAGCAGGGGGAAACAGAATGAGCAAGGGGGAAGAAAGTGATCAGGGGGGGGGGGGGGAGTGAACAGGGGGGAACAGAGTGAAAGGAGGAAGGGGAGTAATTGTTTCGCATGAGTGTACGTGGGTGAGAGTGAAGCTTTGGGTGGGGAAAAAAAAGAGGTGGTAAACCAGGGCACTGGGAAGGGTAGAGAAGGCGGCGGGGCGGGAAACCAGAGCGTCGGCGCGAGGGATGGGAATGGGCATGGGCGACGGAGGAAGGAAGCGAGGGCGAAGAAGAGGGGACGCTCGACGAAGACGTCAGTGGCGGGAATGAGAACAATGTTGACGCAGCGACAGGTGGGAGAGGAGAGGTCGACTCGGCGAGCGATGGGGAGGGAAAACGAGGGCGACGGGAGGGGGAAAGCGAGGGCGACGGGAGGGGGAAAGCGAGGCCGACAGGAGGGGGAAAGCGAGGTCGACGGGAGGGGGAAAGCGAGGTCGACGGGAGGGGGAAAGCGAGGTCGACGGGAGGGGCAGGCGGCGATGGCGACCCGCGAAGCGAGGGTGGTAGGCAGGGAAGAGGCGGTACGCGACGGGCGGGGAAGCGAGGGCGGCGGGTATGGGAAGCGAGGGCAACAGGAGAGGAGAAGCGAGGGCGGGCGGAGGAAGCAAAGGCGACGGGCAGGGAGGAGGCGAGGCGACGGGCGGGGAGGAGGCGGTGCGCGGGAAGAGCGAGGGCGACGGGCGGGGGAAGCAAGGTGGGCAAATCGCTAATATCTCCTGTGCCATCTCGTTTCTACGTGCGTAACACTCGCAGCCAGCGCCTACGATTCACTTCGATTGCATGACCGCGCTTCATCTTCTATTCGATCGTCCCTAAACTGTGTTCACTTGATATGCCTGGCTGGTAAGCGCGATGCTTGGATCCTAAAAAGCTAGTCTGAGTTGTTCGCTTGTTCTGTCGCACAGGTTTTTACCCTGCTCCAGCTCTCTGGGGTTGTATGCAGAATGTATGCGAACTGTTGGGTTGCGTTGGCTGATAATGTCTCGTTGACTCACGGGAGAGTCGCATCATGTTTCGCTAACTTTTTTGCTTTCGCAATTCTGCAGCACCTCATATTGCCCGAACCCCAAACCTACCAAACCAAGCGTTGACTCAGTTTTTGTAATTCAGGCTTCGGGTTTTAAATGTTGTTTGTCTATGTCTGCAGGCTACAGGACCAGGGGAAACAAGAAAAACCGGGTTTTGACTTGTTGGGCAAGGACAAAACAGGTCTTGCTTTTAGGACTTGAACCTGGTTGTTTACCAATCTACCACCTGCTGTTTTGTCCAGCCAGGTTGGTTCTGTTGTTTGGAATTATTTGGGATCATCCCTGGTTGTTCCCAGGTTGATTTCCAAGGTCTGTGCTAGCTATAACTGTTTAATCCTTCTCTGTTTTACCTGGATATAGTCAGATTGATTTAAGCGGACTCCTTCCTTGCTTGAATTTCATTTCTACGCCGTGCGACGGTGGAATGCTACTGAGTCAAGACTAGTACACTAGCACTCGACGCTAGGCCAACGCTGACTGAGCCTAGACTGGCCGCCGGAGGCTCCACTGGGTACCAGGAGGAAACGACCCAGTGAAGCCAGGTGGGCGGCGCAGCCAGATCTCCTCGTGCAGGCTGCCCTGTTGGAAGGCTGTGCTGAAGTCAAGAGAGTGAAGCTCGTGGTCACGCTGAGCGGCGACGTGCAGCAGCACCCGAAGAGTGGTCATCTTCGGGGTGGGAGAGAAGGTCTGAAAGTAGTCAACTCCCTGCCGCTGACTGAAGCCTCGAGCCACGTAACGCGCCTTGAAGACAGGCGGAGAACCCAGCGGCCGCTTCACCCTTAAAATCCACATGCCATCGACAATGTTCGCCCCAGGTGGGAGAACCTCGTCGACGTAGGTGCCTGTGGACTTCCAGGAAGCCATCTCTGCGTCCATGGCTGTCTGCCACTGTGAGGAGTAGGGACCCTCTATCGCCTCTACGTAAGAGCGCGGGATCGGGATGTCTGGTGCATCCGGGTCTCCCTCAGGGGCAAGCAGCATGGACACGAGATGAGGTAAAGCAGCAGCAAAACACTGGAACTCCTCCTGCCTGTTCTCAAGGACGTCCGTGCTAAGGGCACACTCACCCCCGACGGACGGAGGACAGACAGACTCAGACTCAGCAACAAGACTAGCGGCGTAGTCTAGACGACACCGAGCAGCAAAGTCGACAAGCTCAGCAACAAGAGCAGACGCAGAAGTTGACTCAAAGGAAGGGTCAGTGACAATAGTGGCCAGGAGACCCGTGACACTAGGACTAGCAGCACGAAGGGAGTCAGACTCCAGGTCCGAACCGACAGGAAGGGAGGACGCAGGAGGAGACGGCAGAGGGACACGCTGCGGAGTAGTGGAAGGACGAAGAGCCATCTGGTGCATGCCAGGGACAGGAGGAGGACGCTGACGCGAACCACGACGACTAGTGCGAGCAGCACAAACAGGCGACGCAGGACGAGACGCAGGCTCACGACGCTCAGCAAGACCTCCGGTCGGACCAGTGTAAGGAGAAGGAGCAGGCAGAGGGGAGGCGGGCTGTAGTTGTGACTGCGACCGGACAGGCGGTGGACACTCTAAGGAAGGAGCAGGACCAGCAGAAGGCGGGAGACCAAGAACCTGCTGAAGGAGCGGAACGAAGTACGGCCGCGGCCGCTCAGCGCCCCCAGAACCAGCAGGGACAGCACCAGCACCCCCAATGGCAGCTCCAACTCCAGCAGTACCACCAGCTCCAGCAGCACCTCCAGCAGCTCCAGCAGCACCACCAGCTCTAGCAGAACCTCCAGCAGCTCCAGCAGCGCCAACTCCAGCACCTCCAGCAGCTCCAGCTCCAGCAGGACCACCAGAAGTCCCAACAACACCAGTAGCGCCAGCTCCAGCACCTCCAGCAGCACCGCCAGCACCAGCACCGCCAGTAGCTCCAGTTCCAGCGGCACCACCAGGCCCAGCAGCTCGAGTACCTCCAGTACGAGCACCTCAGGGACCAGTGGCTCCAGAACCCCCAGCAGCTCCAGCAGCAGCGGGACCTCCAGCGCCCGTAGCACCACCAGCTCTAGCAGCACGGCTCCAGCGCCGAGCAAACAACTTACGCAGCTGCTGTGGAGAGAGTGGCTCCCGCCGGGACGAAGCACCCGAAGGACCTCCAGGCTCAGCACCTCCAGACTCCAAACGCGTAGGCTCAGCACCCGCAGACTCCGCACCTCCAGACTCAGCAACCGCAGGCCCAACACCCCTAGGCTCAGCACCCCCAGGCTCAGCACCCCCAGACTCAGCACCCCCAGACTCCGCACGCTCAGGCTCAGCACCCCCAGACCCGGCACCCGCAGGCTCAGCACCCCTAGCAGCACCAGAGTCAATAGCTACCTCGACAGGGTTGACTGCGTCTACCTGGGACACACCTGAGGGGGCAGGACCCTGAGGGGGGAGGGGGTCTACCGGGGGAGGACCTGGAGCAAGGAAGAGCGGCGGGGGGGGGAGGGGGGCAGTGCGGTAGGGGAAGAGACGGTAGTAAGGAACTGATTCGTCAAACGTGACGTCCTGAGAGGACAGAACACGGCGCGAGGTGGGGTGGTAAAACTGCCAACCAGGCACGTCAGGGGGGAAGCCAAGGAAGACGCAGGGAACAGCGCGGGAGGACAGCTTGTTCGCAGACAAGTCGCGGACGAAAGCTCGCGATCCCCAGACACGGAACGCAGACGCATCGCCAACCTTCCCCGTCCACCGAAGAGTAGGTGTGGTCTCCGGCATGGAGACCCGGGGCTGGAGGTTGAGCTGATGCGCAGCGTACTCAACCGCGAACGACCACAGAAAATGGGGAGCAGCCGCATGAATCATGGACGTACGAGCGACATCCATGACCATGCCAATGCGGCGCTCAGCAATCCCATTTTGCTGTGGGGAGGCCGGAAGCGTGAACGTCTGGCGGATGCCTGCCTCACGACAGAAGGCTCTCAGAAGGTCGGAGGAAAACTCTCCACCTCTGTCGGAGTGCAGACGTAGAACAGGAAGGTCCGAGCCGAAACTCTCGCTGAGGTGGCGACGGGCTGCGCGGATCCAGTCGATCAGCACCTCAGTCACCTCACCCTTGCGGCGCAAGGGGAAGACCGTGGTGTAACGCGAGTAGTCGTCAACGACCAGCAGAAAGTAGCGCTCGTGACCCTGTCCACGGACGCGGGCAGGGCCCCACACGTCCATGTGAAGAGTCTGCAGGGGAGCTTCCATTGGAGGGAACTCAGAGGAGTGAGGAGCGGCGCGCTGCCGCCCCTCGACGCATGGAACGCAGGTAGGGGCGGGGCCCCGGAGGAAGGGGAGGGAGAGACCGGGGAAGACCAGTGACAAGGACACGGGAGGCCATGCCTCGGAGACGAGGCAGGGAGGGGTGACCAAGGCGGTGGTGCCAGAGGAGAGTCTGGTGAGACAGGAGGCGACACGAGCAGGGGGCAGACTCAGGACCAGACCGGGACGCTGCAGCAAACACCTGACCCGGCGCAGCTACCTGACCAGACGCAGCAGCCGGAGGAGACACTGTAGTCACGGTGTACAGGCTCGACCTAGGCTGACGGGTGAACGTGGCCAGGTGCCGGCCCGTCCGAGTACACGAAAAGTGGGTCACCCGCTGACCTCCAGGAGTGAACTGGTCAACCCACGCATCCTGAAGGTCAGCTCCACTCACCAAGTTCGTGGAGAACGAGGGGGGTTGGAGGCCAGACAGAGAGCCAGATGGGACCGCCGGACACGGCAGAACCTTGGAAGAGTGCGCAAGGACCGGACCCCCAGAGGGGTCAGCCAGGGAGATTGCCACTGGCTGACTGAGCGGTGAGAGTATGGTGCAGTCGCGAAAGAAGGAGCGGGAAGCACCCGAGTCAAGGGTGAACGTGTGTAAGGCCTGAGCCGACGCGGTACCTGAGAGAGCAAACTCACCAGCACTAGCAGCAGACTCACTAGCACCCAGAGCAGCAGCCTCAATGCCCGGGTCGGGCGGAACACACAGGTAACAGTCACCCTCAGCACTAATAGTCACAGCATACATAGCAGCAAGGATAGCATCATAATCAAGATCAAAGATAGCAACCCCCAACCTAAGCAGATCACCCTAGCGAGGGAGCTCAGTGGCGTCTGGAAACTGTGTACGCCAGGCGTCCGTCAAGCGGCCGAAACAGCGGTGCGTGGCGTGCGGTCCTCCGCACGTCTCCCCACTGCGCTCGCCAGTGCGGAGAACGTAAGCACAAGGACCAGCAACCCTAGACCTCCCACGCCCAGCGTACCACTCACGAAGCTGCTGGGGCGACAGGGTCTAACGAGAACGCTACTGCTGCTGGCGCTGGCCACCACCAAGGCCTTCCCGCTGCACAGTGCCACCCCAACCAGCACCACCGCCGCCACCACTACCACTGCCGCTGCCGCCTCCGCCTCCACCTCCACCGCCGCCACCGAAGCCCCCCTCCCGCCACCATCCCCACCTCCACCCCCACCCCCTACGCCGCCTCCACCGCCACCACCGCCGCCCCCGCCGTCTCCTCCAGCATCCTTGCCCCCCTTGCCCCTGCCGCTGCGGCGCCTCCCACTGGCAGCAGACGCAGCGCCGACCGAGTCGGTGCCAACGAGGTCGACAGCAGCAGCAGAAGCAACAGAGGGCAAATGGGGGACGGGGAAGCACCCCTCAAAGAAAGGGGCACGAGGGTCACCACGGGAGGCCCCTACATCGACTATACTCTTCTCAGCTGCAA